TTCCTGCTTTGCAAGAGTCATGTTCACCTCTGGCCCTTCGTACCGGTATGAGGTAACTAGCGGAACCAAAAGCTGCGAGGAAACAAACTCATGAGAACTCGGAGAAATGTCCGATGGTTCGAGAGTGCTTGCCATTAAGTTTCAGAGGAGATCAATTTACCTTCCTGAAGTCACCGGTGGTGTGATGGGCGACATCCTCTTCAAGGGACTTCTTGTAACGAGCATGGTAAGCTTGCCTCGCGTGAAGCAGCTGGTCCGAGGTCCTGGTGCAGGCTATTTCCATGAGCACCTGGTTGCTCGAAGTCCACCTTTTTGTGGCTTCGTTAGCCAAGTAGGCATCACGTTCGGCTGGTTCGTGAGTCCAGAGCAGTATTGCCCTCTGTTGAATAAGGGGAGAATCGGGATACAAATCTTAACAGATTGGATAAGATTGAAAGATCAACATCACATTGGTTAACTAATGGAAGTTTGAAATCGGACCTCGAAGTCATTGGAGAGTTCCTTGTCTAGGGCCTTGAGGAGATCTTGTCCGTGAAGCTCATGGTATATCTCTCGGATCTGCTTCCTCTGCGCAGCGTTACGGTGACCCAAAATGGATATGATCAAGTGCTCGTTGGTCCCCCATCCTGTAGCAACATGGATCTCACTTAGAATCAACCAAACAAGCCTTAAACCAACACATGGTCATGCCCAGTTGTCGGTCCACAAGACTGTATCAAAGCAAGCACCTCAGAAACCAGCTACAATCGCTTTGAGCAAGCATCTTAATCAAGTTCTTCTTCAAGACCTTAAGGACACTATTTGAAAAAGCTAAAAGAAAAACTGGAGAAGAAAACGATGGCGGATTCAGAAGTTATGCTAACTCTACAAAGACAAGATTCAGAAGCAAACCATATAAAAATAAGGATCAAATGGAATCAAGTATATTCCAGGGCCAAGATAATAGATCTCAAAACAGGCGATAGCATCACAAACATATTTTTCTTCTCTTCCTCTGTGGATGAGAGATCAAAAGCAAACGTCTTCGATGGCATCGATACCACCGACAAAGGTCTCAAGGATCAAAGTAGGATGATCTCTTCCACGGATCATAGTCATCATCATCAAACGGCGCATCAAAACCAATAAAATCGCTTCAAAAGCAACATATGACGCGTTGGTACGTAAAAGACATCACGATCCAACGAAGTAATGAGATCGACAATGAACCGATCAACTGAACAACAAGCTCAAACCGACATTGCCGATCCACCAACAGCACCAGAAACCAAAAATCCAAAAAATGAGAGCAAACAAACAAACAAAAAAGAAAAAATCCGTCGATGAACCCCTAAACAACAGATCGTCATGATCTAACGAAGAATCAAAGTCGACATCGATCAGATCCACCAGAAACAGAATCAGGAAAACAGAGATCCACGAACATCACCTTCAAACGCAGTTCTCAATTGCTCAGCGTCTTCCGATGGAGAAGGAACAACCGCAGGAACCTTGAGAGTCGCCATTTTTTTTTCTCCTTCTGGTCTGTATGTGTGTGTCGAGAGTCGAAGCCGATGCAGGGTGGTATTTAAAGGGCCAGGCTCCGGGAGGCGACGAGGCTTTGTCCGTATATGCTTATTTCTCGAATATTTCTTATTCCTCCACGTGGATTTTTTTTGCAGTTTCTCCCCTTTTTTTTATATACAGTTATTTTTCGACGCGAAATAGTCACTTAAATGTTTTGCCATTATTGCCGACATGACCTCCACACAAAATATCCTTGTTTTTGTACACATCTTATTGTTTTTATGATGTTTACATATTAGATATATATAACGATTTTCCATATATATTACATATTATAATGAGTAAATGGTCTTAATTAGGTATTTTTTTGACAAAAAATCTGGTATTTTTTCTTTTCAGAAATAAAAATGATTTATATATCTAGTATCAAATTTTTGTATTTTTTTATTAAATAGTGAAATGCATTTGAAGTAATGCAAAACGCGAAATAAATAGTACAACAATTAAAAAAAAATGGGAAGCTGAAATAATGGAATTGGGAAAATATATTGAGGATCTCGATGCTTCGAATGTCCCATAAAGCGATAAATATTTTATATAAATTGGGAAGCAATTATTTTATTTTACAAAGGAGTCCAACATTATGATCGATATTTCTCGTCACTAGACCCCACCCCTCAATTATTTGATCTGATTTTTATTTTTAATAAATTAATAAGATATTATTTTAAATCTAGTTTTCTTTTTCTCTTTCTCTGTATCCTTTTTCTTTGATTTATCTCAACACCATTTATTCTTCCATCCAAATTCTTTATCTTTACTTAATAATGCGCTATTTATCATCATATTCTCTTTCTATTCAAGTTTTTTGTATAAATATTATGTTTTTTTGTATTTTTTAGAATTGTATAATTTATATATGTTTTTCTTTACAGATTTTATAACAAAATTAAAATAGACTATTTTTTTGAATAATTTATTATAATGAATTTTATATAGAAGGGTTTTTTTTAGTGAAATTAAGATAATTAATGATTTTTTTATTTGTTCCTATTTTAATATGATCAGTAGATTGTTCATTATATCGAGATTTTGCACGATGCAACTAGCTTTATATAATTATTTTTTATTTGTTAAATAATAAGTCATTGTGGAGGTAGTTGGAAATTGGAATCATTTAAAAAAAAAAAAACTCGTTGCTGAACTACCACGACGATCCTTCACGTTCAATAATATTTTATCCGTTCATATTTCAGTTTGGATTTTAGATACCTATACTCAAAGAACATAAAAAAAAGAAACTCCTCAAACTTCGGTCTTGGGCAGTAACCTTCTTTCGAATCAGAATTGGTAACGGAGTGAGCACCAAATTTTGGTATGATCCTTGGTCTCCTTTCGGGACCTTGATAGATGTTTTTGGCAATGCTGGCCCTTCTCAACTGGCAGTCACACGTGAAGCCGTACTCGCCGATGTCTTCCGGCAGGGAGGATGGGCGATCGCCAACCCTCGCTCGGATGCAGCCTTTCAACTGGCCTCACACCTAGCGGGCCTTCAACTTTCCTCTTCGCCTGATGAGGTATTCTGGCAGGTTCGTGACAAGCCATCACAATCATTTGCAGCCAAGGAAATCTGGAAGACCATTTACGCCACAACACCGACCTATCCGGTAAGTTCCATCCTATGATACAAATCCCATCTACCTAAGCAAGCATTCATATGTTGGCTTATCAGTCGTGATAGATGCCCGACGAAAGACCGTCTCATCTCTTGAGGCCTTCAAATCGACCCTCTATGTCTGCTTTGCATCGAAGAACCTGAGTCGAGGGACTATTTGTTCTTCTCATGTTCAGTCTCCTCGCAATTTCTTGGTTGGGCACTGGCCAAAATTGGCATTATTCTACAAAGTTCTACATGGAACTTGGTAGTTGAAGAAGTAACAAAAAACCGAGATTGCAGAGTGCGTAAATGGACCTCCTTGGCACTATGGTAGACCGTCATTTACTCTCTTTGGAAAGAGAGGAATTGTCGACTTCACCGACAGTTGTTCTCTGACCTTTCGTCGATGATGAGAGAGATAGATCGATCATTCCGTATGCGTATTGCAGCACTGCGCACCACCAACGCAGGTCTGGCAAGCTCGAGTCTCCAACTCTGGTTTTCTCCGGAATGATAAAAAATTTCAATGTAATAGCAATATTATTAGGTGATGACCATTTATTATGGTTGGCCTTCTCATTCTCTATACTGTGCGTAATGCACGGGGTGATTAAAACCCTTTGATCAATACATACCTTTTACCAAAAAAAAAAACATAAAAAAATCACATTTTATATTATGAAAATTTTGGATAAAAAATATTAAAAAATCTCTAATTCGATGAAGAAATTATATGATAACTAGACTGTCATATCGTATATCTCCTACATTTCTGGGTTAAAAGTTATAAAATTTAAATGAACAACAAAAAAGACCGGATTAAAATGATTGAGGTCTTAGATTTGAGTCCAGTGGTGGAAAGGGATATAATTTCTAGATCAAAACGGTCTATACACAAAGGTTTATTCCGGATCTAGGGTGGATATAGTGAGGTCGAAAATTCGGAAACTATCCTGGTTAAAAAAAAGTAGGGATGTCAAAAAAGCCCGACGCCCGATATCCGGTCCGAACCTGCCCATAAAATTTACGGGCTCGGGTTTCCCAAATCAAGGCCCTTTCGTTCTTCGGGCCGAGCGAGCCGGCCCGAAAAATTACGAGTCAAAAGCGAGTTCGGGCCGGGTCGGCCCGACCCGACCCGTAGACCCGATTAAAATATAAATCATATATATAAATATATGTGTATATAGGTAAATATATGTATACATATATATATTCGCATATATTTAATTATATATATATATATACATTTATTCAATCTTTTATATATATATATATATTTATAATGTATATCTATGTATAAAAAATATACAAATATTATATAATATAGAAAGTTTTAAAAAAACTAAAAATTTGTTTAATACTAAATAATTTAGGATATAATATTTTCATAAATGATATAATCAAAATTATAATACTATTAGTTTCAAATAATTATTCCAAATGAAAAATATAATAATTTATCATTTTTAAAAATTTATTACCATATAAAATTAAAAACATTTAAATTTAAATTTATATTAGATCAAAATATATAACTTTGTAATCTATTTTTTATGTTTTTATTATCACGAAATGTATTAAAATTTTTTATATTTTAAATATTTTAATTTGTTTATATTTTTTTTAAAAAAATTTCATGCCCGAAGCCCGGTCCGAACCCGAAAAAAACCCAAAGGACCGGGCTCCGGGCCGAAGATTTTAGGCCCGTTGGTTTTTCGGGCCGGGCCGGCCTGACCCGTAAATATTCGGGTTTGTGTCGGGCTCGGACCGGGCCGGCCCGATCCGGTCATTTTGACAACCCTAAAAAAAGGATGGGTTTTAGAAAATAAAATATATGTTAAAAGGGATGAAGAGCGAGGTAATGATGAGACACATATTCGTACCGTATTATTCGACATCACAAACCATAGTTTTGCATTCATGATGAAACACATCCATCTATAAGCACTTCCATGTTAAAGAACCGCAGAAATTTTAAATAACAGATACAAAACTACATATATATAATTTAGCTCCAATATCCAAAAACATCGGAAAACTGTACATGTATAGCAACAGTAATTTTATACGGACGGGCGTAATGCTTCGACTTCTACGACAAGGTGCTTGAGATGGAGAGCATTGTCGGCCGAGATTGCGGATCCGATTGTAAACACAATATTGCGATCTTCATGATGTCCAAGATCTGATCTTTGATCTCCGGCGACGTTTCCGGCAACCTCGAGTCGGCGATTTCTTTCAAAGTTATTGTCTTGTCCGGAAAAGACGACAATTGCGAAACCAGATCTCCCGGATGTTGTCCTTTGATCACTTCGAGTGTCAGAACTCCGAAACTGTAGACGTCGCATTTCTCAGTGACTTTCATGGCGTACGCTAGTTCTGTCATATAGATGATAAGATTGATATTAGTTGGAACGATGGTAGATAGAAAGAACTAGAGCGAAGCGACCTGACCCTACCAGAAATTTCAGGGCGAATCGGATTAAAGTACCTGGAGCGACGTATCCGTACGTTCCGGCGACGGCGGACCAGTTGGATGAATCCGCCTTCAGGAGCTTCGCCGTGCCAAAGTCGGAGACTTTAGCCTCGTAATCCTTATCCAGAAGGATATTCCCGCTGCTGACGTCACGGTGGACGATCGGAGGAGACCGGTCGTGGTGCATGTAAGAGAGCGCGTGGGCCACACTCTTCACGACCTTCACCCTCTTCTCCCAATCGAGCCTCTTCGCTTCTTCTTCGTCGGCCAACACTTTTCGCAGGCTGCCCTTCTCCAGATACTCATACACGAGGAAAGTGTGTCGGCCGTGCGAGCAGAATCCGAAGAGTTTCACGATGTTACGGTGGCGAATCTCGGTCAGTGACCTTATCTCGTTCATGAATTCCTTCTGTAGTGCCGCTGTTGATCTCACGCCGTCGATTGTCTCCGTGCCGTGGAGCTTTTTGACGGCGACTATGGCGGTGGGGAGCTTGGCCTTGTAGACTTTTCCGTGCCCTCCGGTTCCGATCAGGTATATTGGGTCGAAGTCTTTTGTTGCTTTGATGATCTCTTGGTATTTGATTCTGCCATCGAAGCTGAAGATGGATAAGCTCTCTCCTGATTCAGACTCTGAATTCTCCGTGTCTTGGGGTTTTCTTCTTCGTGCATAGATTGCGATTCCGGCGCATACAGAGAGAATCAGGATGGCCCCGAGGGTTGGGACCAACACCCAAATGAGCAAGTTCTTGTCTTTTTTGGATGATCTCTTGCTTCCGAGTGAAGTGTTAGGACATGGCTTCAGCCCTTGTTTGGTATCACCACACAATCCTCTGTTCCCTTCCAATGCCTCTGCCCGAGCGTTTTGGAATGCTGGGATCTCTGGAATCGGACCCTCGAGGTTGTTGTGTGAAATGTTGACGATTCTCAACGCTTTCATGTCTTTGAAACTTGTTGGAATGGAACCCGATAAATTGTTGTAGGAGAGATCTAGTGAGTCGAGGCTCTCCATAGAGCTGATCTGTGGCGGGATTTCTCCGTCGAGCTGATTGTGGCTGAGATCAAGCAGTGTCAGCTGACCCAGTTTGGTTAATTCGATGGGGATGCTTCCATCCAAATTGTTGCTGCTCAAGTTCATGTAATGAAGCCTTGTTAAGCTTCCGAGAGTTCCAGGGATTTGGAAGCTGAATCTGTTGGATGACAAGTCGAGGTTCTCAAGATTCAAAGATCCAATCGTTGATGGAATCTTCCCCGAGAACTGATTCTCATTCAGTTGCAGTCTCGACAGGCTTTGAAGTTTGCCAATTTCTTCAGGAAGTTCCCCAGAGATTTTGTTAGAAGATAGATCGAGTTGGTTCAGCTGTGTCATGTTCCAGATCTCAGGTGGGATAGTGCCTGTGATCTCGTTGTCGGCGACTATAAAAGCAACTAGCTTTCGACTCTCTGCCCATTTAGGTGAGAGCTCTCCATAAAACTTATTGCGGCTGAGATCGATGAAATCAAGATCCAGGTAAACCCCAAAAGCTTCAGAGATATTTCCGGTGAACCCATTTCCCACGAGTCTTGCTCTGATCAAGCTCTTGCAATCTCTCAAGCTTTTCGGGATAGGACCCTCTAGATTGTTATCATCCAATGTGATATTCTCAAGCTTACCACCTTTGCAGATGGTTTCAGGCAAGGGACCGGTGAAGTTGTTCGTGTCAAGTTGCAGGACAGTTAGCTCTGAAGAGTTTGTGATTCCTACGGGTAGTGGACCCGAGAGTTGGTTATCTCGGAGGAACAACCATTCCAGTTGAGTAAGGTTTCCGAAGGATTCAGGAACAGAACCTGTGAGCTTGTTCTGACTGATCTCCAGATCAGTAATGGATACCAGGTTGCCTAGTTCTGGAGGAATGGAACCGTTAAGTTGGTTAAGGTACAGATGAAGAGTAGTTAAGATCCCGAGATTTCCAAGGGTAGAAGGGATTGGACCGGAAAGATTGTTGGTATGAAGGCTAAGGGTATCTAAATTGGTCAAGTCACCGATTTCAGGGGGGATTTCACCGGAGAGCTGGTTTTCAAACATGTTGAGAAGGGTCAAGTTCCTCAACTTGCCAATAATGGAAGGTATATGCCCTGTTATATGGTTTCTGTCAAGGCAGAGTTCAACAAGGCTGGTCATGTTCCCGATCTCGGGAGGGATTGGACCGGTCAGATGATTGATAAAGAGGTACAGATTTTTCAGCTTGGTTAGATTTCCAAGGGAAGAGGGTATAGGGCCACTTAACAAGTTGTCATACAAGGCGATCTCTTGAACGGAAATAAGGTTACCGAGCTCAGATGGGATCGACCCGTTTAACTTGTTTTCAACAAGATGAAGAGTTTCGAGGTTACGTAACTTGCCAAGCTCAGGTGGGATTCCCCCGGACAGCTGGTTTATGGACAGATCGAAGTAGACGAGCTTAGAGAGCTGTCCGAACTGGGGAGGGATATTGCCGGAGAAACTGTTCATGCTGAGATCTACGTAGGTGAGATCGGGAAGAGAAGAGAAAGGGAAGTCTTGGAAAGTACCTTGGATGCTGGTGTTTGTGAGGTTAAGTCTGAGGAGGTTTCCTTGTGAGTTGCAGGAAACGCCATACCAGTTAGTGCAGAACCTGTTGATGGTTGCGTTTGACCATGAAGACAGAGGAGAAGAACGTGTCTGGTTTGTGAAAGTGGACTTCCATTTCAGAAGCGCATTTGCTTCCGAGACAGAAGCTGAAGCAGCAAGAGAGCAGCTCAAGATTATGAGCACGATCAACTGGCCAGAGGGCTTGCCTGCAAAACCCATTCTCTCTCTCTCCCTCACCAGATCTTGAAGTGGGTTGATTTTGGTCTAAGATGGCGTTCATGAGCTTTACTCGGAGGTCTTATTTTTATAACGCGTTTTCTTGGAAAAATATGAGTTTTGGGTCGTTGGTGAAATTAGCAATTGGACAAAAAAGTCTTTGGTTTGAATTAATATTAGAAATTAATTCGAATATACAAGAACGTGAATGGTCCAATTCTAAGGTCTTGGCAGGTTTTATTATTAGTCAAAGTATATGTTATTTTATTTATTTAGTTTATATTTGGATGCAGATCTTGTGCAGCTGCTATTTGAATTCTATGATTTTAATTGGATATTTTTTTTATGTGATCTTCGATATATTTGACTTATTTTATTTTATTTTATTTCTCAAATATTTAGAATTCATGGATGTATTTTTCACACCGAGAGCTAGTGCCTAGTGGATATCGTTTTATCTGAAATTGATAAACCCGTCGTGAGTGGCTGAAAATTCTTTTGGTGGGTATTTTCTATTTTGGTCTTTTAGGTTCTTGATTTTTTGGTTTTATGTTGGCATTGATTCGGGTTTTTAGGTTAAAATTATTTATTTTCTATATAACCTTTCAAATCAATTTTATATTCAACTCAAATCATATTTGATTAATTTAATTTTAAAATAATTATTTTCTATTTTAGATCATATATTTAAATTCGAAATGGATGTAAACTTTAGTGATTTGTTTGATTTTTATATTTTGGATAGGATGGGAGATTTAGAATCCGCATTCTCCATTACTCAACTCATATTCGCGAAATCGGATATCTATCTCGTGCTTGTGTTGTGTCCTGGAGTTTGGGGGTGCAAATCGAACATTTATTATATTGGGGCAAAAGAGGCATTCGCTTGAAAACAAGGGACTAAAAAAGTATCGTCAGTCATTTTGTACAATTGCTGACTTTTTTTTTAAAAAAATATTTAATTCTTGATCATTGCCCTAGAATTCCTTAATAAAATATATTTTTGAGAAGATGGGTTGATTGAGATAATCATACATTACACACAGATATGGTATATTATAATATTTTACATTTAGTATGTTTATACTATAACGATTCAGAGAAAATGTAAAGTCTTCGTTCCATTGAAAATTCCTAAAATCATTTAGTATAATGGACAAAATGCAAAAATAAAAATAAAAATAATATTCAACTTCTCCATTAAATCGGCCAATTAAGGTTTAGTATAATGGACGAACGACAAAAAGAAAAGAAGAGAAGAGAATATTCTAACTTTTGTGTATTTTCGGATTTTAATTCCGGAATAAAATGAAAGCCTAAAATTAGGCCGGTTAAATTATAAGTTTGGAATATTCTTCTAACAAACTTATGCAACCAACGTTTGGTAGTTCAACCGATGAAACGAGGTGTAAAGCGTCAGTTCCGTTCGAGTTTGAACTCCGGACCAGGGAGAGAGTGCATAATATGTACAAAGGCAATGGGGGTGGTTTGTAATACGTACAAAGGCAATGGAGTGAAACGAACACAACTTTTTATTTTTATTTTATTTTTTATGTAAAGGAAACGAATGGATAGGCAAAGGCGTAGTCCACAACGAACTGGTGAATTGTAATCTCCTCTTGATGTTCCCTATATATATGTGTTATCATCACCAATTAATTACGTACCAACGATAAACGTCCATTTTCTCTACGACAGAGCGTTGGAGATGGAAAGCATGGTCGGTCGAGACAATGGATCAGATTGCACACACTGGAACGCAATTCTCACAATCTGTTGGAGCTTCTCTTCGATGCGCCATGGAAATGGCAAGCGCTGGTCCAATAAGTCACTCAATATGATGTTCTCTTCGGTTAGCGAATACGAAGAAATCGAGTCTCCCGGATGAGAGCCTCTCAACACTTCGAGCGTTAGGACTCCGAAACTGTACACGTCGCATTTCTCCGTCACCTTCATCGTATAAGCTAGCTCTGGATTGCATATAACCAAAGACAACAAAGAAAAGTTAAAAAATAGATAACTTTTTGAATTTTCCCAAATGTTATGAGTTTTCTCCGTTCTTTATGTACCTGGTGCCATGTAGCCGTAGGTTCCCACAACAACAGACCAGTTTGAAGAGTCTGCCTTGAGGAGTTTTGCCGTACCAAAATCCGATACCTTAGCCTCATATTCTTCGTCCAAGAGGACATTGCCGCTGGTGATGTCACGGTGTACAATCGCCGGTGAGCGGTCATGGTGCATGTATGAGAGCGCGTGAGCAACACCCTTCACGATATTAATCCTCTTCCTCCAATCAAGCCTTTTGGCTTCTTCTTCGTGTGCCAATGTTTTTGCTAGATTTCCTTTTTCCAAGTACTCACACACTAGGAACGAATGGCGGCGATGGGAGCAAAAGCCGAAAAGCTTCACAATGTTACGGTGGCGAATTTCCGTTAATGTTTGTATCTCGTTCAAGAACTCGCGTTGGATTTCGGGAGTTGATATCTCGTCGTTCGCCATCTCGTTGAGCTTTTTGACAGCTAACGTCAAACCCGGAAGCCTTGCTATGTAGACGCTTCCGCATCTTCCTGTTCCAATGAGATACTTTTGATCAAAATCCTCCGTGGAGTTGATGACCTCTCGGTATGCAAGTTTTCCATCAAAGTTTGTCACCAAGAACTGTAACACAGCCTCCGAATCTGCATTTCCATTAGATTGGCGTTGTCTTCTTCTTCGGATGAAGATGACAGCTCCAACACACACAGAGAGAACTACAATCACTCCAAAGGTCGAGAATAACACCAAGAATTTCTCCTTTTCCGAAGATTTCTTTCTTCCCAAGTAAACAACAGGGCAAGACCTGAATCCTTGTTTGAAATCACTGCACAACCCTTTGTTGCCCTCTAATGCCTCCGCATTAGCATTTCGAAATGCAAAGTTATCTGGAATCGGACCCTCAAGGTTATTATGTGATACTTTGATGACTCTCAGACCACGCATATCCTTGAAACTTGTCGGGATGATACCCGAGAGATTGTTGTAAGAGAGATCCAACGTGTCGAGGGTCGATAGAAAGCTTATCTGTTGTGGGATTTCACTGTCCAATTGATTTTGGCTAAGATCAAGCGTTGATAGTTGTTGAAGCTTTGATATCTCGATGGGGATGCCTCCATCTAAGTTGTTTAGACTCAAGTTCATGTCGTAAACTTTAGATAGGTTTCCAATAGTCTTTGGGATTTGGAGTATGAATTTATTTGAAGATAAGTCGAGATACTCAAGATTGATTAGAGATCCTATTCCTAAAGGGATTCTTCCAGATAATCGATTCCTACTAAGATTCATCCTCGACAGATTGCTAACACTTCTAATGGTTTCTGGAAGTTCACCAGAGATGTAGTTTGAAGATAGATCAAGTTGTTTTAGATTTTTCATGTTCCAAATCTCTGAAGGTATTGCACCTGTGATCTTGTTATCAGAGATGATTAATGCATTCAGCTTTCGACTCTCTTTCCACTTGGCTGAAATTTCACCATGAAACTTATTGTGGCTAAGGTTAATATAATCAAGATTAGGGTAAACCCCGAAATTATCAGATAAATCTTCATCGAATTCGTTTCCGTCAAGTCTTAGTCTAACCAAGCTTTTGCAATCTCTCAAGGTTTTAGGGATTTTACCACTGAGACGATTATCTGCCAACATGAGAGCCCTAAGCTTAACGCCTTTGCAGATGTTTTCTGGCAAGAAACCGGTGAAGTAGTTGAGGCTAAGTTGCAGGATATTCAGCTCCAAAGAATTTGTGATCGCTGGAGGGATAAAACCGCTGAGGGAATTGTTAGAGAGGTATGTCGTGACCAAACTGGTCAGGTTTCCAAATGAAGAGGGTATATGCCCTGTAAGTGAGTTACGTGCTAGGTCAAGATTTTGTAGTGAAGAAAGGAGACCAATGGAATGGGGGATAGGACCGGTGAGGGAATTTCTGTTGAGGTACAACGTGGCCAAGTTGGTCAGATTTCCAACCGAAGAGGGTAAATGCCCGGTAAGGGAGTTGGTGGATAGGTCGAGTTCTCGAAGCGAAGATAGGAGACTAATGGATGGAGGGATCGAGCCGTTTAAACGGTTTCGATAGAGATAAAGGATTTCGAGGCTTCGTAACAGACAGAGCTCTCGTGGGATTTCTCCTGATAACTGGTTAATGGACAAGTCAAGATGAACAAGGTTGGGAAGAGAAGAGAAGGGGAAACCATGAAGAGTACCTTCGATAGCGGTCTGAGAGAGGTTCAACCTTACGACACTGCCCAGAGAGTTGCATGAAACACCAAACCAATTGGTGCACAGACTGTGGCTGCTCTTGTTGTTCCATGGAGACAACACATGACTGTGTCTGGAGAAAGCGGACTTCCATTTCAGAAGACCTTCTGCTTCTTCCCGAAGGGAAGCAGAATATGCAAAAGAAGAAGAAGAAGAAGTCATCACAACCATGAAGAAGATGATGATGATCATTTTGAGTGGAACATAAAGAACATCGCATGGCCTTTTATTAGTTGATGAACCAATTCTCCTTCTGTCGATTGGTTTCTTTGTTACGCTCACTGCATGGGGACTCCGGGTTTTTATAGTTTTCTTCTATTTGTTATATTCATTTTCCAAATATTATTTTAAATGTTTTCCAAATATTTTTTCCTTTTCAAGTGGTATTAAATAGAATCTTTTTAAAAGCACAAAGTTTAGTGATAAATTAACTAGGCTAAATATCGTTTTGGCAGTGAAACATCTTACGTGAATTTTATATATAATAATCAAAATCAAATTATAATATTCCTTTTGGATATTAAACCTCTATCGCCATAACTAATAACCTACCATAAGAGATAATTAATGCAACATAAGGTAGATGGCATGATATGATTAATTATACTCTTGAATAATATTTATAAATCTTTCGAGTGTATCTTGGTGTAATATTTTAGAGTGTAAATAAAGCAATTATTCATGCATATTAAGAGACCAAAAAGTCGTTATGAATATCGTTGGTCGTGAAGACCGGGCTGATGGGTTGAAGTCGGGTTTGAACTCGGTGCAGACATTACAAGATGCAAAACGACCGCTTCGCTGCACCCATGACTGGGTTGAACGAGAGATACTTACACCCAATATATATTTAAATTGTTACGATTAGGGAAAAGATTCGCGATGGATGAGATCATCATAAACACACATGTCGTATATTATATGTCTTTTTTACATTTTTTTTGTTTCGAATACAAGAATCGAATATATTACTACGATTCAGATTTGGTAAACAGCTATAATTCTAAAAACAAAAATGCTAGTGGGAATACACAATTATTCTCTTTCTTTTGGAAGTCATCCTATTTACTCTCCTTTAGAATATTTTCTATATGGACTATCAAACCGCGTAGTTAAGGAAGTCATCCTATTTACTCTCCTTTAGAATATTTTCTATATGGACTATCAAACCGCGTAGTTAAATTGAAGTCATGTTTGTATAATGGACAAACCGCCAAAAAAAAAAAAAAAAAAAAAAAATACAAACAATTCAGAAATTAGATGGATATGAAGAATCAGGGAGGAACCTGAAGGGGGCAACTTCCAAATTACCTCAAATGTGCTACAAGCACTTCTCCTACTACTCTCTTCATTTTAAAAAAAAAATTCAACTTTCAATCTACCATCTTCAATAACATATTACCAAAATACCCTTAAGATATAATTTTTTAATTAAAAAAATAAAAAACAAAATTTCCCCTTTTTCTGAAGTTTCTCTATCCCCATTTTTAATTTTTTAATTAAAAAAATAAAAAAATAAAATTTTCCCTTTTTTCTAAAGTTTCTCTCTCCTCCCATTTTTTACATGTTTCTCTCTCCTTTCGCCATTATTTTCGATTGAGCTTTCTCTCTCTTCTATATTTTCTCTCTCCTATTTATCTTGATATTTTGTCCTAAAAATTTGCAGAAATCGAATGAAATCAAAGGAAAATCAATGAGAAAACTAAAAATATGTAAGCTAGTGTAGAAATCCCGATTTTTTTCCATACACATTGATGTTTTTGTGGTTTTTTTCTTCTAGTTGTTGTTCTTTCCGCAGTTCCTTCGTTTGTAATATATTTCGGTCACAACCTATAATTTTGCTCATGGAAGTATTGTTGAACGTAGTGGAAAACGAGATGATGTATATTATGAAGAGAGAACAACTAATTTAGAATTAGTGAAAAATAACTAGAATTTCTATAATAATTGTGTGGTATATTTGTATACTAACGTGTTACAAACCATTTGTACAATAATATCTAAAGACCCTAATAATTTTGTAATTGTTTGTACAATAATGTGTTAAAAATTTTGGATAATATTGTGTCTGTACCATATTAATTAATATTGTACTTTTAACCTTGTATTTTTGCATATATCTGACTCGTGTTGTACACTAAATAAATTGACTCACATGAGCCAACGTTGTGATCCATTGTGACCAGCATGTGATCGTGTGACCGAAGTGCAATTTTACACTGTGTGACCATTGTGACCGACTGTGACCCGTGACCGAAATGTGTTGATAAATATAGACCCAAATTTAATTTTTAAGCTTTAGAGTGGTTTATCAGGGTCTATATATCAAATATATAGTGTATGTGAGAAATTTTCAAAATATTTTAAGGGGTTTGTAGAAGAAATATTCCAAATTTGTCAAAAACACTCATAAAACACTATGAAATATATAGAAACACATTTGGAAGAACAATTTTGAAACATAAAAATCGCAAAAACCATATTCTAATGTTCGAAACAATAGAGAATAGGCTTATGAGATATGTGTGACGTTGTAGAGTAATTAAATTGACAAAAATCGCATGAATCGAAGGTTATGACCGACTTGACCCATTGTGACCGAAATGTGATGTGGGACCCACAGAAAGAACTAGTCAGATTTCTCCAGATTTTTATGTTTCGTAGGGTCCACAATCATTATTTCTATTTTTAATTTTAATATGGTGCATATTTTGAATATTCAATCCTATATAATTTTCCTCTTAACCCTATATTTTTTCCCTCCCAATTTTTAACCCCAAATTTTCACCTACAATATTTTCAACCCATAATTTTTCTCTTATTCCATTGTGTAGACCACTTTGACAATTCAATCTAGATTTCTTGTAGGGACTATTTTGAAAATTTAACTCATTTCACAATTGAAAAAAACGTAATTTTATTTTAACCTTATATTTTTTTTCTCCATCAATTTAAGTTTAAATTTTTTCATACAATAATTTAGACCCATATTTTACATAAAACATAAATAAATTCAGATTTCTAATAAACAAAAAACTAAATACAAGAGTTCATAATTTAGTCTACTACCAAATAAAGAAAAACATATCATAGTTAGGGTTCAAAACAAAATAAACAAAGTAAATTTAGTGAAATAAATTAAAAATTTACACTTTCGTCTTCTGAAATATTTGTTGTCATGTCTTCCGATTCTACTTATGCGTTGATCAGCTCTATGAACATAGTATCACAAGTCAAATAGTTGCATCCTATGTAGATCACGTGATGTTTTATAATGCAGGTGTGGAGTTCATACATCGTCTCTTCCATGTGCTACAAAATAAAATAATATATGTCAATAATATTTTCTAGATATCATCGTGTGACACTATGACCATGTGACTGCATGACTATAAAACTATGTGACTATGAGACCGTGTAACTATGTGACCATGTGACCAGGTTCGTTTTCAGATGTCGTATCCAAAACTGAATCATTCCATCTGTACTCTCATCATACCCTTCCAAATAAAAAAGAAGTGTTTGTTCACCCCTTTCTATATGCAATATAGTCAATCGGAATCGTGTGACCTTGTGACCATGTGACTATGTGATCATGTAACCATGTGACCATGTGACTCGTGACTATTGTATATTGTGATATAGACGTACCTATATGATTCTGTGATCATGTGACCTTTGTAACTGTGACCGCGTGATATTGTGACCATGTGACCTTGTGACCATGTGACTATGTGATCATGTGATCATGTGACCTTGTGACCATATGACCATGTGACCCGTGACTATTGTATATTGTGATATAGGCGTACCTATATGATCCTGTGACATTGTGACCTTTGTGACTGTGACCGTGAGACCATAGCATTTGAATGCTCATGTCATCTATACATCCAAACAACGACCCATATCGTGATGTGACCTATATGACTGTCTTATTTGACCGAAACTCAACCATTTCACTCGATTTGATCCATAACCTCGCAAACCAACATTCTATTTTGAAATCCCCAAATTTTTTTAGAAAAAACCCAAAACCCTAATGCTTTATCATTCAAATCTCCAACCCACACTTCAACCCAACAAGAACACATCTCAAAGTCAAACAAATTTGCAAATAAATTGAATTTTAACCTACCTTATGTTCATCTAACTTCGTAATCTCCATAAGGTTACTACTTTTGTTCGAAAAATGTGACGAAGATTAACATGAACTTGTCATTTCTTCGATGTCGTCATTGCTTCTTCTATCTCCTCAATTTTTGGTGGCTAAATGAAATTTGAAAAACCCAAAACCCTAAATTTCTATCGGTCAAATTTCGAAACCACACTTCAACTCAACAACAACAAATTTCAAAATCCAACAAATCTAAAAGAAATTAAAGTTTAACCTACCATGTTTTTGTCTAACCTTGCAATTTCCATACGGTTTTCATTTCTTCTTCGGATCTTGAATCTAACCGGAGATTTAAACAGAAAATAGAACAAAACGTAAAAAGATTGCACAAAACACAAAAAATTAGAAGTTTTGAAAGAGAGTGAGAGAGCTAAAACCGTGAGAGTTAAGATCGACAAGAAAAAGATTTATGAAGAGAGAGAAAGTGGAAGAAGAATAAAGTTAGGAGAGATCAGAGAGGGGAATCAAAATAAAGTTGCGTAACTTTTTTTTTTTAATTTTGAATTTTTTAAATTGAAAGAAATAGAGGGTTTTTTATCTTTTCATTAATATATGAGGATTTTATTGTCTTTTGCCATAGTAAATAGTATTTTTTATTTGATTATTTGTTTGGAGGGTAGTATGAGAAGTCCAACTAGCAGTCAAAGGGTATTGCAGCTATTTTCCCAACCTGAAGTTGTTACCCAACAGATCGTGGACGAGTGGTCAAACTTGGGTAGGAAATACCTTGAGGTTGAGTGTTCGATTCCTGACCGGTGGGGAGAGAGGTAATTTCTGGGTTTATATGATCTATATACAAAGGCTACGTCCAGGTCGGAGGTTTACCTAGTCAGTGCACTCGAAGGGTAGCAGTTAAGGGTCCTCCGTTATTAAAAAAAACTGAAATCGTTAAAAGTTCGTTAATGGGAGGGGTAAATTTGTAATTCCGTTAGCTCGTGTATAAGAATAAGAATATAACCAGAGGTAGGTACTTTTCATTATTCTTTTTTTGCCAGCATGAGACTCGTCCTCTCGAAGGTGAACTTGTAACAGTGGATTTGCTGGTTCGGACCGAGACGAACTCGATTG